AGAGAACGCTTTACAGCGAGATCCGGGTTTAGGGTTTAGGGTTCAGGGTTTAGGGTTTAGTTTTTTTGGGGGGGGGTTAGAGTTTAGGGTTAAGGGTTTAGGGCAACTTTTAGCGTTTCGCAAGGACTCTTGTAATTATATCAAGGCCCTGTTAACTCCAAATTTACGGGCTATCACTGTAGGGGGATTGACCTGAAGTATACCTCACAAAATATATGACGGAAGGCCAGGATAGCAAGGCTTGCCACCTAAACCCGCAACCGCAACCTTTAATCCTAATCCCTAAGTCTCTAAACCACTAAACCAAAAAAAAAACCTAAGTCCCTACATCCCTGAACACTATGTCTCTAAACCCCTAAATCCTAAACCCTTTGGCCGCCTCCAGGTCTGTGGAGTACTTCACATCTGAAGCCTTCTCGGTCTTGGTCTCCTGGCTTCCGGTTCAGTTCAGGGCTTAGGGCACCCTTCCCAAATATGAAGCCTATCTGGGCCACTTTTTTAAAGATTGCGGGCTTTGAAAGATCCCTTTTTGGCACACCACGCGAGGTTGAGGAAGCGTTATCCTACCACCGTGGCACGCTGGGCGCCGTATGATTGAAGGCCCATGATTCGCTGGAATCCCCCTCCTTCAGGCCTCGTAGATCCGACCATGTAGGCACCCTAAACCCCCTCTGCAAAGCTAAGGGAGCCCCGAAACCTCGAAAAATCTCAGCCACCTCAACCCTTAACCACTGAATCTCCACATCCTTCCACACCCCCATATTCCTTCCAAAACTCAGAACTCCCCCTAATCTCAAAACCACTCCCTAAAAACTTAAACCCTATATGAATTAGTATGAACCCTACAGCCTAAACCCTAAACCCCCAAGAAACAATGCTTGGCCCGAGGTCCTCGAGGTCTCCCTCTGCGGTAGCCTTGCTCTGCAGCTTCTTCGCCTTGAACTGGCTCTTGTCCTTACGCTTCAGGGTGGAGGGTTTGGGGAGTTAGGCAGTTAGGGTTTAGGGGTTTGGGTTTAGGGGTTTAGGGTTTTGGGGCTTTGGGTTGAGGATTCAGGGTTTAAGTACGACTTTGGATTGGCGTAAAATCAGCTTTGGTCCGGTCCTGCTGCTCCTTCTTGGACTGGGTCAGCTTCGTCTCCTTGGTTAGCCATACAGCGACTCTCGCGGACTCAAACGAACATGCTTCAGGCTCTTGAGGGTTTAGGGTTTAGGGTTACAGACGGGTTAAGGGTTTAGGGCTGAGGTATAAGGGTTAAGGGTTTAGGGATTAAGGCTTTAGTCTTAGTGCTTTTAGGCACCTGAACCCGAGCCCTAGACTCAAGACCCTTCAGTCGCAGTATATAGCGAGACCATTGGAGACCCCAACTTTGGCAAGACCCAGTTTGGCTTCCTTCCTATTACATCCTGTTACCATGCTCAGCAAACATGGCACGACTTACCCACCCCCCCCTCCCCGTTACAAAACTGTCCCCCTCCAAGTATTGAACATTGTGTCATTCTAACATAACGCTGATGTTTATTGAGTGCTCTTTTGGGGCAAGAAACCACCTGATCTGATCTTTAGATTGCTAGAGTTGGAGCAATCCGTAGAGGACTTCAAACTCCACATACAACTGTCCTCAAACTTCCAGCAAAGAGTTAGAGTCCCGAATCAATAGAGTCGAGAATCTTGAAAAGAGCCCTCATTTTCAACACCTTGCTTAAAGCTTTAGACTTGAGCACTATCGAATACAAGGTCCCTTGGCAACATTTGGACTACAGTCTAAATGCCTTACGGGGTTGTTTTAGGGATTATAAACTTAAGGGATTATATATAGGGTTACTAAGGGGGGTACTACGGGTCTAGGACTATAGGTCATATGGTGGTTTCTCAAAATTCCATTACGGGCCCCAAGGATCTATTTGGCTTACGAAGTGGCAATTCCGATCAAGGATTCTTTCGGAGTAACTTTGCAAAAGTCCCTCACATTGCGGGGCTTCCCAAAATTTAGCTCCTTTCAAACGGCGTCCACGCAGTAAATGCGAATCTTGTGTGTTCAGCAAAGCTCTTGTGACTCTTGTAAGTTGAACCGAGCAGAGGAATGTCAGGATTTGGTCGCAGTACGAGAGAGGTTATTTAGTGCTTTAAGACCCTTAAACCCTAAAGTCAAGCCTAAGGACAGACAACCCCAAATCCCAACCCTCCTGGCAAAACCCCCCTCCCAAGCCGAGCAGTGCCTGGCAACCCGCAATGCCCTACATCCTGAAACCCCAAGACCCTAAACCCTAAACCTTCGAAGCCCTGAATCAGAAAACCCTGGAGGCTGGGAGAAACCTAAGCCTAGACCCTGCAACACGAACCCTAACAGTCAGGAAAAGCACATTACCATTACCATTCACCTTACGGTGCCGATTTCTACACATCCGGACATGTAAGTGAGGGTTTCCCATAATGTGGGGTACCTTTTTGGGTCCCTAAGGATCATAGTATTGGGGGTCCCCTTATTTACGGAAACTACCAAATAATCAAGCAGGTACTTCATACCTCTGTGGGACACATCGTCACTAAACATCCGGAAATATCCGGACATTCCAGTCAAGAACGCCATCCAGCCAACCACCCAATAGGCTCTAAAGGATTTCGAAAAAATCCTTCAGCCCCACTTGGTGGACCGTGAAGGATTTCTAAATATCCTTCAGCCCCACCCAGTGAAGGATTTGCAAAAATCTTTCAGCTCCACTCGGTGGGCCCTGCAGAGTTTCCACAAATCCTTCAGCCCTCAGTGGGTCCTGAAGATTTCCAACAACCCTTCAGCCCCACCTGGTGGGGCCCTAAAGGATTTCGAAAAATCCTTCAGCCCCACCCGGTGGGCCCTGAAGGATTTCCTAAGATCCTTCAGCACCCCATTTTTTTAGTCCCACCCGATAGGCCTTGAAGGATTTTGAAAAAAATCCTTCAGACTTCCAGCCAAACCGCTCCAGCCAAAACCCTCTCCATCCAACCCCAACGACCCCCCTGCAGCCAACCTCCAGCCAAACCCTCCTCCAGCCAAGCCAAGTCCAGCCAACACTTTCGGCCAAAGACTTCCAGTCCAGCCAACACACCCCTCCAGCCAAAGCCCCTCCAAGCCCTCCTCCAGGAGACCGGGGCCCTGAAAGGCCCTGAAGGCCCTGAGGGTGGAGGAGTACCAGGACCTTTCCAAATACTATGACTACGTCTGTGACTATGACGAGCTTCCAGGCTCTGGGAGAGCTTTTCGAAAGCATGGCGCTTCGCCTGCTCCTCTTTCTCAAGGCTCACCCTCTCCTAAGCGTGGGTTTAAGAGTTGGGGGGCTTCGGGCCTAAGAGTTTGAGGGTTTGGGGTAGGCGAAGGGGTTTGGGGGTTTAGGGCTTACTGCAGGGCTTTGAGGTTTGGGGGCACAGAGCTTGAGACGTTAAGGGGGGCCGTTCGAGGTGGAGTCCGCAAGGGTTCCTGCACATTGTGAATTTGGCGGATGCATTGGGATCGCAACTCATCAGGGGGCTCTAGGGTTGACATACGGATGGTAAAAACGAATGGTTGAGGGTTCATAGGGCTTAGATTAAAAGGTAGTTTCCCTAAATAGGGGGACCCCAATATAGACCCCAACTTACTATAGTCCTTATTATGGGGACCCTTAAAAAGGTATCCCTAATGTTGGGAAACTACCAAAACAAATCTCAAAAGTCTGTCCAAATCAGGCGTAGTCTCGTCGACAAACTTCTCCTCTAGGCTCTCAAGCATGCTGATCACACCTGTTAGCTTCTCAAAATTTAGGTAATTTCCCAAAATAGGGAGACC